ATGGATCTTCAGTGTTCACGCGGACCAGCGCCGCTAAGTAGCCGCATGGCCTTCTTTTGCAAACGAAAGGCTTTTTCCGAGTCTCTTACCCCACCCCACAACACAACACCATAAGACAACACACTGTGCAGCAGACCGAAGTAGACCGTTCTTAGGACCAACCAGTGGCTGAGATGTCTTAACAGGAACAAACGCCGGGACAGTGTGGCGCAGACTTCGTCGATCTGACCGGTTCATGACAGAGTTCTGTCAATAACAAATCCCAGTGGAATAATATTGTCTTGATGAAGAAAGTCTACTTTGCTACAAGATAACGTAAGTTCTTGAGTTTTTTGTTGGTTAAGGACTAGGTTGTTTGCAGAGAAAAAACTGCTGAAGAAGCCTCACAGTCTCATCAACGTTTTCAGTAAGCATTCTATGATTCCGAGCCGTTGAGAGAACGGCAGTATCATCCGCGAACTGGGTCACGTTTGCATTGGGTACGGACAGCGGTAGATCATTTACTCAAATAATGAAGAGCAGCGGCTCCAGAACCGAGCCCTGAAGAACGCCGGAGACTACTGGGAAACGCTATCACTTGACATGTCGCATCGCTACTCTCAACGTAATGAAACCTGCTGTTTAGATATGACTCTATATATACTCTGCATACCCCTGACACTGTAAAACTCTTATTTATTCAACAGTACGACGTGGTCAACACAGTTAAAGGCCTTTGTAAGGCCATACAACAGGGCCTTCGAAATCTCACCAACATCATATCCCCGGACCACCCTGCTCACAAAGTCTATAAGCGCATGGGTTGTGGATTTCTTTTCACGAAACTCGAACTGAGAGTCGCTCAGAAGTTTGTGGTTTTCAAAAAATCGTGAAAAGCGGGTTTTTACGGCTTTCTTGTCACATTTTTTATAAACAGGAATTATTTTAGTTAGTTTCAGCTGAGATGGAAATTCGTCACTTGAGAACACTGCATTTGTTAAAGCGGTCAGAGGGCCGGTGTGTTTCAATATTTTTGAATTTATGCCGAAGCAGTTAGTCGAATTTGAATTGCTCAGACTCAAAAAGAAAGATTTACTGGTAGAGAATTTCTTTAGAAACGTATAAGGATTATCGGATTTTCTAATAGTGGAGATTAGATCCGCGACCACATTGGAGAAGAAGAAGTTGAACTCATTGGGCGTGATCTAGTTAGACGTGATTCTGGATGATCGATTGGTTTCATGATTGATTAAGGCCCAACAGCTTTCGCTCATGTGGGTAGATTTGGATATAAAGCTGGAATATTCCTTTGATTTAGTTTCTAATAATAATAATAATAATAATAATAATAATAATAATAATAATAATAATAATAATAATAATAACAATAATAATAATAAGCCCCCGTATCTTAATTTAAAAAACAATTATGTGTTATTTAAAAAGAAGTGTTTGAAATTTTTAACAAAACTCGTCCTAAAAACGATCTTCTTAACAAAATAAAAAAATGTGTATGTATATAAAAGCTCTCTAGTATCTACACCCCCAATACATGAAATGTTTTTATAAATATTCCATAAAACCAAGAATTATTAGAATGTTCCTAATTATTCTTACAAGAAATGTTGATATGACACCTTCATTGATAAAAAAAATTGAAAATGATCTTAATTGTACTGACAAACTTGAATCGATAGAATCGATAGATGTAGGGAACCCTAAGCAAAACAAATATGGTTGGGGTAATGGCTAAAGGCAGTAGGATACAGGGTGTTCCATTAAAAAAAAGGAATTTTAATACACAACATGTGGAATTTTCTATTTATTAATAATTTTGGGTTAGCAGAGTTTCAGCAATATTTTTTTTTCCAACTTTTTTTTAAATATAGTAAGAATGGAAAATTTAGAAATAATTCTGTTGAATTGGAAACAACCCCTGTATGCTGCTCGTTTTTTTGCAAAAATATATTAGGTGTTCTATTAAAAAAAAATTCATTGCCACGCCTTTTTTAATGTATAATTGAAAATATTTTTAATGTACATGTGGATAGCACTTTAACGTCTAAACTACAGTGTAGTACAGATATAGAATAAACGAGGACGGAAAGCAGCATTAACGCTGATATATTAAAAAGCTGATACTTTTGGCTATAGTTTACGAAATTTTAATACAGTATTTTTAGGTAGACGAGTAGGCAAGACAACTTCTATAATACACAAAATGTGCGATTATTATTAATAAATGCCGCAAAAGTTTATTTGCGAAGTTCTCCTTTTATGAGCTTTCCGGAAGCTTTCACAACATGCAGGTGGTCCGAATTATATTTCATATAAACTTATGTAGCATTCACTGGACCGTTTTAATTAATTTACGCCAAATATATGCACATGCAAACAAAAGAAATTGTTTTTTGGTTTATTTTAGATAAAAAACTAAACACAAAATTACGGTAAACCATTGGCGTACCACTTATTATATTATTTAAATTAATAAAAACAGTCTCACGAACGCCACTGCTTAAACAAAAGCAAATTTGCTTTCAAATGGCAATTATACTTAGTTAGTTTGAAAGCAAAATCTGAAAGAGGTTTTAAAGAAAATAATAAATATCTGCTCACTACGCTCTTCTCCATTTTTATTACATTATAATTCAGAACACAATGTGTTTGATGATTATTTGATTTGATTCACAACAGATAAAATGTCAAATTTTATAAATGGTATTTGGGTTTTCCGTTATTGTCCAGGATAGTCGAAATAATGAAATTTTAATTGTTTTCGTCTCACCGGTTGAAACGCCCATTTTGAGAGACCGGATATATTACAAAGTGAAGTTATCTTCATTAAAATATTGCATGGGAGATTCGCAAACCAAAGCTAAGGTTTCAGCTCTCTAATAATAGGAACAAAATCATTAATTTTTCGAAAACCACTAAAGATAGGTATAAAGGGGTGCTATACAAAAATAACTGGCAGAACATGGCGGAACAAAAAATCCAAAAATATCAACGTTGAAGAGGCATCAACGTCGCCATTAGACCGATACATGGTTTCGCTTATGTAAACGAGTACATTTTCAGAACATACCTACGTCTTATTCACTATGAACTTCGGGTCACCCTGTAGATGTGTACTTACATGTCGCGTTAGTTTTAACGAGACCTTTAAAATTTAAAAAAATGCGGTTGCAGCTATTTTGCCGCAAATGTTTATTTATCCGTACCGACAATTATTGAATTTGCTTGTTATTCTAAATCAATTTTAATTAGGGCGGGCAAAATTATACAATACGTTCGGAATTATATATTCGGAACGGAAAATGGCGAACTAGTGTGCACGGGACGCCGGGTTTTTAAAATGAAATTATAAAACGCGAACGAGGGGTTTTTCGGGAAAACCGCCATTTAAATGATTTTTAGAAATATTAATTTGTGTTTGTTCATTTAAAAAATAAAAATAATTCGATAAACCTCAACGAACAGACAAAATTTGGTCGGATTGTTTCCTGGGGCAGGGTCGAACTTGCCCAATTTTGAAATCATATTTTTTTAAATTTATTACTTTTGTAAATCTCTAAGCAATTTACAAAGGAAATAAAGATTTTTGAAAGGTCAGGGACGTAAACACTGAAAGGGTAATTTTGTTGTATTTCTACTTTACAAATCTGCTATCATTTAAGAGCTTCTCTGCTTTTGTCTGCTGTAATCTACAATCATTTATACAAGAAATCATACTCGAAAAATAAATAAAAATATAATTAAAAGATAATTAAAAGTTCTGTGGTATTTCATGTAATATTCTACTATTCATTTTGAAAATTTTGCTAACTTTTTAAAAATTGTTCCTCACAAATGCTAACATCTTATCAATTGAATATTTTTTCACAAATAACTGGATTTGCTAGAAAAGTGCCAAATTACCAAAATGTAAAATTAATCTTAATTTCTTCGCTACTTGCTTTTGTTTTTTGCATTTTGATACCTAATTAAATAGTGAAAACATTTAACGCATAGCATAGCATTCCTGCCAACTCCGCAAGGTCCTTAAAGGAATTAATTATAAAAGCTCAGTTTCCGATTATCTGCACATGCTACTACAATAAGGCAAAGTTTAGAAAATGCTATAAATAGTCGTAAGTATAGCACCAAAGCATCAAATGTTTGACACAAACAGGAAAATTTAAAAAATCAATTTAATTTTTTAAAAAAAGTAAAATTTTAATACAATACTTTTCAAAAATTGGCAATAAAATAAATGGTTCCTATTAAAAAGGAAATAATTGCTGTAATATTAAAAAAACTACAATTACATTAACTCTTTAACAACACATTGCAAACATCAAAAACAAAATACTCATATTAATTATTTCAAATTTGCACTTATTTATAGCATTGTAGTATTCATTAAAAAATTACAATGTCAATATTTTTACATAAAATATTTAATTTGTTTAAGATCTAATGTCAAACATCTAATGGGGCGGAAGTTTTGGCACAAATTACGAAAATACCAAAAAATATCTTTTGCCAAGCTTTAATTAAAATTTTGCGGGCCGAAATAGGATCTCCAACAAGAAGGAAATATAAAATTGAACCTAATTTACTTTACAATTTAATTGAATTAATATTTTACCAAAAATAAGGGGATTATTAAATATTTTAGGCGAAAAATACTATAAAAAATCGGTTCATAATGTTGACCAACGCTTTTGCCTTATCCACCAAAAACTGTTAGATCTATCTAAACTTAATAAAGACTAAGTAAACGTTTTTAAAAGGTGTGCATGGTCGGCCCATGATTATATCGTTTACTGAAAAAAGTGTTGTAAGATTGGCACTGTATCTTAAAATGGTTAGTTCATTTCAACATTTAACGCAAGTAAGTTTTTAAAATTGCTAATGGCGCAAATTATTTCTGTAAAATATCTCCCTCTACGCTAGGGATTGTCGTCTGCATAAATAAACTCCCTGCCGGAACTTCTCAGATAAAGCAAGCTTACATAAATATAACATCCACCTACCTCCTTGTCTGACTACGCTACACAAATAACCGTTTTTTTCCTCCAAGGAGAAAAAACTGAACCGTCAAACTAACGCCACATCTTCCACAAAATTTAACATTGACACTGAAAGATATCCGTGCCGTTCGTGTGGTCAATGTGTTTCCATTAATTGCGATATAATTATTACCGGCAGGTAATTCGTTTAAATTTTGCGCTTGACCTTGACGCAGTCGGCCGCAATCAATGTCAGCCCGGATTGACGGATGACACGTCGGATTCAGGTGTTTAACGTATAGGGTTCACCTTTCCGCGCTGAAACTCAACAAGCCGAGCGAAAAATTCGCGCGAAACCAAATCGGACCGACCCGGTGGCTAATATTCGCAATTTCGATATAACGGCAATCGTTTGAAAGGTGTGAGGACTTGATTATCTCGCTTTCTGGTCTATCTGTACCGTTAAAAATTGTCATCAAGGGTCACACGAAATCGATTCGCGACGGTCTAGTATACAGCGTGTTTGCTGTAGCCCCTGCTTCCGCTAAAATATAATCAAAATGTATACTACTCATTCGCACTTCGAACGAAAGTACTACACAAGCTTTTTGGATTTTCCTAAATTTTTTAACAACATTGTTAATATTATTAGTATATTATGTAACAACTTTGATAATTGTACTTCTTTTTGCGTCTTATGGGACACTTGCTTCTTGTTTTTATTGCTTTTTTTGTACTTCATTTCATTTTACATTCAACGTGTGACTAAGGTCGCTGGAATGGCATACACCCGGTGTAAATCTACTTTCGTCGCATTAAGCTTAATGACATCTGAAAGCGGGTTTTTTGTTACAAGTATTACGGGACACACCAACATAATGCTATGAAATTCCGACATCTGGTTTTCTGAAAAGCACAATATTGAAAACAAATTAAAGCCAAGTTCTTCATTCCGAGGCATGTTTTGTTTGAATTAGTTAAATGTACTTAAGCGCCATGTAAGACATTTTATCCTTACTAACGGAACTTCTTATTAATAAATATTATAGAGACGAACAAGAAGTCACCTGTGATTACAATCTCAATACTTACACCGTCTCCTAATCTCGAAAGCAACGTTTTTGATTATTAAAAGTCTTAATGACTGAACAAGTTTAAAATATGCGTTTAGTAGGTAATCCAATCTATCGGACATTTTTCGATATTATATTATTGCACAAAAGAAATCTGCAATACTAATAGTTCAAGTTCAACAAGAAGCGCCCTCTGCCTAGTACTATGCGACGCGATGAAAATCGATACGCTGCTTTAAACAGGACTTAGCGCCATCTCGCGGATTGTGGCGGTATCACAAGCGTGTAGATTTACAATTTTCTCCTACAGATATCGTCTACCAGTTTAGAAAAGGTTTGCGTATGGTAAAAATAGTTATTGCAGCGAAAAACACCTTTTTACTCAATCTACAACTTTACAACCCAGTGACGTCACGGATATGGGCCCGCACGTAGTGGTAGCCTATATAAACCAGATTGCTGGCCCGGGTGACTTCACCACACGAACCGGTAGTACCACCGATAATGCCCACCAAGGTTCCATTAACCACCGCCGGCCCTCCAAGGTCACCAGGGCACACACCCTTTTTCCCATCCTGGTCGATAGCATTCAGGTTGTATTCCATGACCGCTGTGATTGGCAATGTCTGCAAATTTATGAGGCGGATGACGTCAATCCGTGATTTTTTTATATATCTTGACTTACTATCGCATTGATGCGATCGCTCATTTCTGTGGTGTTGGTAGAGTTGATACCCCAACCGGACAACACCACCTGTTGCCCGACGGTGACGTTGGTGAACCAAGGCAGTACTGGAACAGCCCGCACAGAGTCGCTAAAGTCCAGATCCTTGTCCAGAGTTAAAATGCAGGAGTTTATGTACAGCCGAGTGAAGAAAAAAGGGTTAATGCCCATATCGGTGACGTTGGCCGAAATACCTTGGTTATAGTCGGTATTGCCAAGTCGCACTTTCATAAACGCCACGTCCTCACTGCGAGAGGAGAGTGCGTTGGCGAATAACAGAATAAAAGGACCTTGCATATTTTTTGCTTACTCGAAGTAGACGTAACAGCAGGTCGCAGTGGTGAGGATGTACCGTGCGCCAATTATAGACGCACCACATGCGTAGCTACCATTGTAGGTGACTACGGCTGTGTAAGGGTATTGCTTGACATCTACCTGCGATCCTCCGAAAATAGCTTGGCTTGGTCGGAGTAGCAGTAGGACTGTGCAAAAAATATTCGTTGCTGATTATTGGTGCTCTGTGCTAAAGTGTGGTTGTGGAATTGTTTGTTGATTGTTCGATTTTGAAATATTGTTACTTATACATGCTTACCAAAACAGACAGTTGGCAGCCAAAGCGAAATGGGATTCATTTTTCGAACAAACTGACCGTGTAATGAAATTTACTAAAACTTGTTTATCTAAATCTAGATTTGGAGCCTTTCGAGTTGGACGTTATCGACTGTGATTGATGAGTCTAAAGTAAAAACGTCAAATAAGATCTGTTGTACAAATATCGAGTTTAACTAATATAATCAAATATTTTTAGCAACCCTTTTTGAGCCTGGAGAACCCACAGATACCCCCAGATCCATCACTTCTAAAGTTTGGTTTCGAAAGGAAAATAAACTAGAGAATTCAAAAATAAATCGTTTTATTTTGAAGGTAAAGTACAAAAGTTACAACTTAAACATACCGGGGCGTAAAAACCCAATTCCAATTAACACACCACCCAGACAGAATTAGTATACATTTTGTGGCCCCATCGGTCAAAGTGCGGCGCTGTCCATCGAAATTCTCGCACATATTTTTGGCTGAAAACCAGTAAATATTACTACAGAAGCATCTGTTTGAGCAAAACAATGTCCAAGAAAAAAAATTACAGGTTGTCCAACATGTGACCAACCATATACGAAGTAATGTTGTTGGCCATGTATTTCGGCTTGGGACTTTGTTTGTCCACCCTGTAGCTTATGGTAAAGTTATTCTGAAACAGTTCGATTTTTACTTTATACTTGTTACCCTTTCAACACTTACTAGTTCCGATCTCAAATTATAAATTTTTGCCTTGGTTTTGAGCTCATTTTTCAGGTTCCAATCTTGCAGGTACACGTTGCGACTTATTACATTCTTGTGCCTCTTGATTATGTGCCACCTGAAACGAAACCTTCAAACTCAAAGCGTCCGCGTTATCCGCAGATATACCTAGTTATCATTTGAAACAGCCTAGACTTCTGCCCTAACTTTCGGAATAATTTCAACACCTCCACTAATGCACACCTGTAGCTGGGCGATACTCGCAAGGACTTCCAGAAGTACTGAAGCCCTAGCCGATGATAGCCTAAGAAAGCACTGCATTATTGCGTAGTCCTTCAACAGCACGGAACGCATACTTTTATTGAGAACCCATTTGCCAAACAGAGCGGCATAATGGGGATCGGAGGGATTTAACTCTATCACTTTCCTCAGAAAATGAGAAACCTCCCAATCGGGCACAGTTTGTAGCTTCGCCAGCTCCAAATAAGCCGGAGTGAACTTGCAATCCACTTGGACACACTTCCTGAGCATCTTCTCAGACTCGTAAGTCCTGTTGGACTTCCTAAAGAGCAATGTTATAATAAACGAGAGAACTGACAGCTTAAAGCTTACCTGTAGAGCTTTCCCAAGTTGTAATGGGCGTTGACGTGATTCGCGGACGCCCTAATGGCGGCTAAAAAGTGCCACTCCGCTTCAGCGTCGTTATCTAGCATAGTACCGAGGTTGTTGTGGGCGCTGGCGTAGCTCGGCCATAGCTTCAGCGCTGTATAATAGTGCGATTTTGCCAGCTCGGTTCTCGAGGAATCCCTCAGGAAGTTGGCATAGTTGTAGTGCATCTTGGCGTTGTGAGGCAACGTCTGCAGGCCAGCAGCTAGTAGACTTTCGCGAGAGCCCCAGTCTTTGTTTCTTATAAACGTCCTCAGAAAGCTTCCGATGATAAGCACCAAGACACAACAGGCTATCAACTGCCTGTTTTTGTAGTAGTTTTGTAGCAGTTCCTGGATTCCGAGTACCACCAATAAGGTACAACCGAGACTTGGCAAGTACAGGATCCGTTCAGCTACGACGAATCCGACGGTGAGCAGCAGATTCGAAGCGGGCAAGAAGGGGAACATCAGCAAGCAAAACCCCAGCACCATCGGAGCTCGTCTGTGATTCTGGAATGAGAGTTTTTTGTGCGACTGTTGCATGGAAGGGGTGAACTTTGTCACCTCGATGTCGAAGAGGCACTTGGCCGTCAGGAGAAGCGCACCGCCGAAAAAAAAGCACGTGAGGAAGTTTCTGGGGTCATTTAAGGTCGTTACCAGCGGTATGGAACCCATTTGCCAGTCGTGGGACAGGTTGGACGGGTAGACGAGTAGCCACATGTTGAAGGCGGCCAGATAACAAAACGTGAGGACTCTGAAATTGAATTAAAGTTCCTCGCAGCAGATCCCCTTTAATATCTTATCTTAATCGCGAAAATTTCTGGAATTTCGCCAGTGCCCCTGGAGAAACATCCACGTGCCGGGTGGGAGCATAAGTTCAAAGTAACAGAACAATGTCTCGCTGCTTTGTTGTAAAGGTGCACATCTAAAACGGCCTTTACGAACAGCAAATATTTCACCGAAAACTTACCTGACGTGGAACGACGGATGGAAGGCGGCGGGATTATCTTGTTCCGAGAACTTTGGCAAAGATCCTTGCAGTATTGTTAGCCTCAAAGTCAACAGGATCGCCGTCTGCAAAGATAAACAGGATCCGAATTCCGGAGGAAACTGTGGCGATATTTTAATGAGTGGTGGACCGGGCGAAACTTAAAAGTTTTCGAGTTCGAATGAAATATCGGATCTAGAGTCGCACATTTGAATCGTCGATATTTCGACTTCATTTCTCGGATGGAAATTTTCAATGTTTGAAATCCCTTGGATAAAATAAGGGTAGAAAATCCAACATCGATGAAAAACGAAATTCCAAAAAACAAAGAGTTAGTTCAGTTAGTTCAAATCGCGTTGAATAGGGAACTTGAACAAAATTTAAATTTGAAAAATATTGCTTATAAAAGTTAGTTTATACTACGAAAGGAACCACATAGTTTCGTGTTTCTATGTAACAAATATAAGCAATTAAAAATTGTTCAAAAGTTAAATCCTCTATGAAACGCGCTGTCATTAGCTGTGACCGGTTGTGACGTCAATTCGCTGGTAAGATTACGCGTCAACCGGAGGGTATCATAGAGAAGTCATTAGAGAGCGACAATGCGTTCGTCTTGGTTTTTTTAATTTTAATTTTAATTTTGATCCTGTGGCTTGCTTTTGTTATCTTGTGTTTAGTGTAACTCTGCCAACATGGTCGCTGGGTGGATTGAGTAGCTCAGCGGCCATGTTGCCGGTCCCAAGCCCGAATAAAAGAGCAGGGTTGTGAGGCGAGGCTAGCTACCTACCTCATCACACAACCATTTGCTCAGAGAACGAAGAAAGTAGCCTCGGATAGGACTGATAAAACTTATAACGACACGGCAAAGTTAAGGAAAAAACGATTTTGGAAGCGAGAACAACTGCGAATAGCCACCTGGAACGTTACATCAATTACTAACAAAGACCAAGAAACCATAATATAGCTTAACAAAACATAAAATAGACATATGTGCCTTGTCTGAGACGAAAAAGAAAGGAGCTGGCAATTTTAGAATCGCGGAGTATACCCTGATACACAGTGGGAAACCAAAAGATGAAAGAGCAGCATCGGGAGTAGGCCTATTACAGACTGCTACAAACCACGTTTAAATTTACAGAAATAACTAAAACCTATAAGCGTTATGTTCCTGATACGAGTAAAAGTCAAGAAGAAACAGACTCATTCTATGATTAACTACAGATCACCATGGATAAGATACCGAAGCAAGACGAAATTATGATACTAGGGGATTTTAATGGAAGGATTGGTAACGAGGTTATTAGTGGAATTAATTAATTTACACTCAACAGCGATGGGAAACAACTCATAAAATTCAGTACACATAACGAACTACGCATCAACAACACTTTTTTTCCCCATAAACAACAGCACAAGTATTCGTTCGAGAACACAAGAAGACATAAATCGGTAATAGATTACGTTATCACAAATTGAAATATTTATCCCTCAAAAATATTAGATGTCAGAACTCAGCAAACACAGGGACTAACCACAATATGGTGCTAGCCATAATGCGGAACTGCGTGCAAAGGAAAACCAAACAAAAGCATTTGGTAGAGTGAGATTACATGACGCCATTGAGCTGCTAAAAGAACGAGACGTAAACCAAAGGACCATAGACATCATTCGGGACATGAACAGCGTAAATAGCACGTATTTAAGGGTAAACAACGAACTCTCCAGTAAAATACCAGTACCAACGGGGATCAGGCAACGAGATAGCCTTAGTCCAATACTCCAACATTATAATGGACGAAATAATAAAAGAAGTCGAAACTGCAGGCAGAGGATACAGATTGGGAAAACGTGAATTTAAGATAATTTGCTACGCAGCAGGTTATGTCTTTTAAGGGGTTAACATCTCGAGCAATAGGAACCTGAAACAAGAAGTAAAAATGCAAACAATAGTAGCATCTAGGATATCGGGATTCCTTCAAACCGTGATATGGAGGAATAAATACTTAAGTATCGAAAGCAAAACACGGATATATAAAACTTGTGTTACACCAGTTATGACATACGCCATAGAAACGAGGGCGGAGACTGCAGCTACAAAACAAGATTCTTAAAACGACCGAGATGAAGACAACGCTCAATCACAGGCAAAACGCTAAGAGACAGAATAAGGAGCAATGAAATTAGAAGACGTTCCGGATATAGTGAGATGGGCCAGAACTAGAAGAAGAGCATGGAGAGATCATGTCCATAGAATGGAAGACGATCGACTGGCGAACATCGCAAAGGAAGAGAGACCCAATACAAGCAGACTTGCCGGAAGACCACCAAAGCGCTGGTATGAGAGCTGGACCTCGGAGTCACAACTTAGTCTGTTTCCTTGAAAACACAAGACATAGTCTTAAAATAAGAAGAAGAAGAAGAGTGTTTAGTATCAAAAAGAAAGTTTTGAAAATGACCGAAGCCGATTTTTTAAAAGCTCAATTTGATCATTTACCATTTACCATCAGGTGAAATCTTACATACAAAACACTAACAATTTTTCTTTTTCTGAGGTTCGCAGTGTTAAAGTTAAAAGGTATGTTCATAGAAAATTTAGCCACTAGTTTGAAACCAATATAATATCGTAATTAGCTTAAAGTTAAATAAAATATAAATTAATTAATAATTAATTAATTAAATAAAATGTAAATTATTAAACAAAAAAAAACAAAAAGGATTTTTTTTAACTAGTGAAAGCCTAAATACTGACTTCAAAGTACATTGATGACTTAAAGTGTTCTTTATTTTATATAGATCAGGGAGCCATTCAAATGGAGACTGCAACAGGATGGGTACAAGTTCGAAGAGTTGAAAATGTTTTCACGGTTAAGGCTAAAGCGGCACCTGAACATAATGTTAACAAAAAACGACCGGTTTTATTTTCTGGTAGACGAATAAAAAGTTTATCTGTCGTTTAACGGGTTATACTCAAACATGATTTGTAATATGGTTTTATGTTCCTTCAATTATTATCATGTAAAGCACACTAAGCACAAATACAAACTGGCGTAGATTAAATACAAACACACCCTTACACGAGCCAAAAATCAACGTAAATAATTAAATTCCCTGCCTATAGCCTGAGAATAACACTATAACAAGTCGCCGTAGCAGCGGTATGACGTCAGGATAATTCGGCGCATTTTGTGTCGTTTAAAAGCAATGGGCAGGTGTCACAACTTCAATTATTTATTGCAACTTAAACATTTGGTTTTGAGTTGTGATTATTGGTATGCTTTATTTATATACATAATCACATTTATTAAAGAAATAAATAAAAATGTTGAAGTTTCCTATCTTCTCTGTGGATTTTTTCTCCTATGTTCTCATGCGAATTCAATATAAGAGCTATATAGATCCAATGTCTTAATACATTCTGGGTTTTAATAAATACTAAATCAATGACAGTGAACTCATGTCAAACTGATATGCAAATAGATGGTGCTTTGCTTGCGTTTTTGTGCTGCCAGACGAAAGTGTTACATTGTCAATTATTTCGCAAACTATACATTTCCAAAACCTTATCTGAATTTATAATGCAAAATGGAAAAAATATATAAAAATTGTTTTTTTGCTCAACCTGTGTTAATCTGACATTGAGCCCCTTCCACAAGACATCCAATCAAAATACAATAATTATTGAATAAATGTTAATTATTTTCGGCGCCTGCAAACGTCAGTTGTGACATAAAATGCAAAATGTGTCGAATAATATACAGGGCGTTCTATTTAAAATGAGGAATAAATTAAACGTTAAAAGCTAATGAAACTATGTCTCGTTTTTTTTATATCATTCGTAATTTCTTAATTAGGGGGTGGCGGTAGGAATTGACATTTTGCACTTTATAAACCAAACTAATTGTGTACGCTTCCTATCCAAGCCGTCCTATATTTCGGACAACTATGTGTTTGAACAAGCAGTTATTTTCTTATATTTATTTATTTTTTATTTGTAGATATGAAATTAACAACATTTTTGACGGTGTATGAAATTATTTCCAGGGTTTAATTAGATATTTAATTAAATTTGCTATTTAACTAATTGTTTGGTTGTCAAAAAAGGCTTAAATATTGGAACATGTTCTGCTTTTCCTTACGTTTCATCCACTTTTTGAATATTAATAACACCTCACTTTTATTACGATTGAATTACATTAATGGTACGCGTGTGTAGACAATGAGCGCAACTTCCAGTAAATTTGTTGCTGCCATAAATATCCCCACTTAGTTTTGCTATGCAGTATAAATTTTCAATGTCTGGACTAATACGAGTGCACGTTAGATTTATCCGAAGATTTTATCTCAACAGAAAATGTTTGTCATATCCCTCTGGGCAGCCCGAGTCTTAATCCAATACAAACAATTTGGCATAAAATGAAACAACATCTAATAAGTGTTAATCAGCAGACTTCACATCTACGTGCTAAATTTCACCCCAGAATTCTGAGAAGGCTTAGTCGATACAATGCCTATTATTTCCGCCATTATGTCTTACTGATTTTTATATTAATTAGTACCAATTTTTAGTTATCAACGCATTAGCAATACTAATCAATATCATATCTATAATTAAATACACTCTAAAAAATGTTGTTAATTTCGTTTTTACTATTAAAAAAATTTAAAAAGTTGTTAGGGCTCGTCATACTTAACATCCCCGGCTCCGTCGAGAAAAACATCAAGGGCTATAAAAACAGCCAGCGTTCTTTGAAATGACGTAGAAAAAAGATTAAGGGAGAGTGAGATAACCGAAATTAACGAACCAAATGTTCATCACATATTAAAAATAAGCTCTAGTTTTCTCATACAAAAATATGTTTTGATCGAGATACGATCATAAAAATATTTTTTTTTATATATATTTATTTAAATTCGTACCAGCACCAGATTTGTCTGCAATATTTTATAAGAAAAAATGGTGCGCCATTGACTTCTTCTGGAATAAAATCTTGTATAGTTAACAAGTAAGAAAAATAAAGAACAATACTTTTTACAAAACTTCTGGATTCCTCCGGCGTCGGTTTTTGCTGATTCGCAATTGCTGACGTTTCGCCAATCATCCTGTTGGCTTTTTCAGAGCTTGACTGAAGCTGTTTCAGCAGCAACTGTCTTTTGATGCTTGAAAGCAGTGTAGAAAATAACAATGAAATATGAGTGGCTTGAACATTAGGATAAAACTAGTTTTTTCTTAGAATTTCAGCATCCTGTTTCTCGTAAAGAGAGCGTTTAGGTAACTAGGACTTATTTTCGGAGTAGAATATTAAATCATAAATTTTAGAATACCCTGTATATTAACTATAAGCTTTGCTTTGTGACGAGCCTAGTAGAGTGACTACGCGGATTCGGTGACACCTCCCAGACTGCCGTAATCTCCAATGGCGGCACAGCTAAACCCAATTCGCTACGCATCGTTGAAAATTAAAAGTCGAAACTATTGCGCAACAGCAATTGATGCAAATTGAAATTAATTCAGGCCCGATTCGAATTTCCTTTCCGCATCGAACACGATTGCGGATAATTACATTAAGCGCGTACAATTGGAAACTTTGCATTGTGCTTCTAATAGAGCGGAATGGCTGGAAACCGAGCCCCCCACCCCGTTCGTCCCGACGCGTAATATACTTCGAATGCGGTGTATTTAAGCGCGACTCTGGGGATATAATTATTGAAATTTGTTGCACCTAAGTGTTTTCCGCTACGAAAGGTTTAATTAGGCACACACTAGGTTCTATCGAATGCCCCATTTGGGTCCCGTTAGTTTTTAAAGTGTCGATACTTACCGATACTCCGACCTTCGTGAATCGCTTCGCAAAACTCGCGGCTTCGGAATTGGGTTTCAGGTCGAATATAGCGCTGAAAGTATCAGTTCAGTAGTCAATGTTAAATCGAAACGAGAAATCACCCTTACCGTTTAACGTACGTCCAGTGTAAGTAGAAATCGTAGGTTAAGTTGACCAGGAATACGGTGATGCCGCTTTCTTTGGCCAACATACTCAGCGCTCCGTATAACACGCTCGTCCATACGCGATCGTCAGTGGTAGTCTGCCTGAAGTTTCAAGGAAAACACGTTAATAAAAATTCTACTTCCGCGTCGCTTTTCCCCTTCTCAACTGCGGTTTATTTATTTCATTATCGCGGCGTAATTTGCCTCGTGAAGCACCCTTTGAAACGGAAGATTCTTTAATTAACGCGTAATGGCAAAACGGCCGTCGAAAGAGGTACGAACAAAAACGATTCATTAATAACATTGATGAGTTTAATAGAGGCGGAAATTTGATGATTAATTGGAAAACGTGGAAACTAAAGTCGAATTTGGGACGATCGACCCTTATCACGTGACTAAAATTTAGCTTCAAAAGTTTACATGGTGGGTTATCAAACATATCCCTTACCCGTGATAAGCCAATAGGGAGAGCAAGAAGAATACTGCTGCTAATAAATCGGCACGGCCCACGATTCCGGTGACCTGTAACATACGTGTGTAAAAATAAAAAAGAGAGTGACGTAAAAGTAGTTGCAAATTCTCTTTAAAATGTGCCGCACATTTAATGTCTCCTCTAGGAGGAGGGACTGGATTGATGCTACCTTATGATATTATACACTATACAAAACTAGGATCCCTACCAACGACGACTGGCTCTGTACTGGCGAAAATTATTCTTGTGCCTCACGGGCTAGTCTGGTACACGGACGGGTCCAAAATAGACACAAGGACAGGAGCTAATGAGTATGGTAGCTCTCCTAGGACACAGATATCTCTGGTAGGAATTCAAACAGAGCCCTGACATGTAAGAAGGCAACTTAATATCATGGAGGTAGACGACGAAAAAACATTTAGGCTGTGGAGGCAACTCCAATTCATTTTATAATCAGCTGCGGACTAAACCTAAGCCGATTAAGAGTACTAAGAGCATAATTTTTAGCACAGTTTTAGCACAAAAACTGAATCGAAATCACTGGTTCTGTTGTGTACATGACTATCCAAATACAGCGGCTCAAAAAATGAGAAAATTCAATATGATTTATATCTCTAGTAATATTAATATTGCAAAGTTTCGAGTGAAATGAAAATGCTTACTGCTTCGGTATGGATAGGGTGCACGGCGAACAGGACTCCTCCTAGCGCTGCGAGCGGCGACTTCAATCCGGTCACTTCCAGGCAAACCTTAGCAAACAAGATGCACGAGATCACGTGGAACGTGACGTTGGTTGCGTGAAACCACACGGGCTGAAGTCCAAAATACAAGTAGTTGAACCTGGAACGAATTAAGAGCTTTCTGGTCCTTGTTCGTCTAGACTATCGTCTTGTGGACTTGCTACACTTGTTTATAAAACTACTCGACCTGGACCCTTTAAAAGCTAGTAGTTTCACTAAAGCTAGCGGCCTGACAAGCGCAGTAAAGGAGATTTGTTACTTCCAGAACTATCGTCCCCCTATCCAAAGAATTCGGGTTTCGTTTCGCTATTAATCTCCAGGTGGCAGCACAATCTCCACCAATATTATATCTCATTCTCTTTCTTTGCACTTGAGGAGAAATATCCGAAAACCGGTCTCACTCGAAAGCATCAGATAATTTTTTTTTTGTGAAGACTAAAATGATTAGCACTTTACACCCTGCGCATACTCGCACTTGAGAAATTGGTTTATTACCAAACCTTTTCGTCGTCTATCGACTTTCACGCGGATGAACTTGATTAGAAGCTCGGTGTAAAAGAAACTATTAGCGTCATCTGTCGTGCGGATAATTGGGTTAGTTTCACTCGTCACACATGTGCGTCGCTTCTCCTCCAGAGATTACGTAAAGCAATTTTCAACCCCCAAAGAGATTATAGCGCAAAAGAAAGACGACCCAAAGGATAATTGCGTTACGCGTAATAAAACTTTTTTTTTGTCGAACTTAATATGTTTCAAGACTCTGCCTGATCTCCCGGTCTTCGTCAACATGTTCCTGCCCGAGGAGGGACGAACCCTTCTCCCCCGTTTACGCTCCTTTGATGCTTATTGAAGTCGAAAACCGCGCAAAAATGTTTTGTTCACGTCGACCGGCGACGACTTTTGATGTATTTGTCGGGGGCCTTGATTTATGACTTCGGATCGATCAAATGATATTTTTCGTATCCTACCGCGCCGCGGCTGTTTTTATCGGTTGTTACCGATTCTAGGCAGCTGATTGATGAAGATTGCGGCTTAAAACGTCCCGTAATACCTATGCCTCGAGATTTCGGTTGGCGTGAATATTGGAAATTATTGGAAATTTGTGCCGAACTTCGTCAATTCTCGCACAATAGAGAGAGATTGTTTCCACAAAATTTACAGACTAAATACAAGTTGAATCTATTGTGTGCGTCATTTTGTCGCCCCGGATGAATTTGTTGACGGTACAGCAGATACAAATAATTTGGATGATAAAGTGGAATACTTCAAATTTGTGGCTGTATTTTCGATTCATTGTTTTAAATCTAATAATTGCGATTAAGATATTTCGATTCGATTTTTACTCGACAGAAATTAAATATTAATAAACCGCTTCGAATCTTACTTAACCTAGTAAGTAGTATCTTGGTAGTAGTATGTCGTAGACATTGAACAGGTTAATTTATTAACTAATGTATTAATAGAAATGTTACATATTAGAAGGTATTGTACTATAGAGAGCGGATTTACTTTGTTCTACAAATGTTTGATTCTTGTATATAGTGATGATGATGATTGAGAGAAAAACTTTGATATGGATGTCTAAAATGAACTTTTTTGAAATGTTGTTTTTTTATTTGCGCAAGGCTTTGTCCCATTTTATAAATATATACTCCAACACGCAAACATATTCTGCCCAATAACTAAACCACCTTATATCTTAGATGGTAAAAATGTTTAACAGATATGCTGGGCAACACATCCCTTCCGTGCTATTAAGCTTTCTTTAATCCTCTAAAGATACGGAAAAAACTATAAATTAACATATTGTTATATATTATCCGAATTACAAAGCACATTAATTATTCAGTATTCAACCGCACAATCCAGGCATTCTGTAAAAATTGATTAACAATTCCTGCACAACAGATTTTTTCAGTCCTAATTTTTATTTAAAATTTCTAGCAAATTCAAACTTAACATACAAACATATCGTCATTCTGGTGGAGAGAAAAATCTTTAACTGCAACAGGCTAGTAGAGGGCTTAACGTGATTCGGTGACTCTTGTAGGTACTGGCGCGAAACCTACGAATACCTGCTACTTACGGTTGAATGTTGGGCGAACTGAAATCCATTTTGATTATAATAAGTGTGTAAAGGGCACAAAAAACATGACATTATTCACGTAATAGAAAATATACAAAAAAAACATGATTGCTTTCGAAAAATCGTCGGTGAGCGGGGCAAGTTCGCCGCAAATAGCGCGAATCAGCTTTTTGTTCTAAAAAGAAGGCGAAACTTTCGCGAAATCGATGTAATTTGATTGTGAATACACCCTGTGTAAAGTGTCCTTCACATCTCGTCGGACGTTAAATTGCAATTTAAAATTACATTTTTTCAAATAATTTGCGTCCCCTGTATTATATACGAAACCTTACACTCTCTCTCTCTCTCTACACAGTGTTCATATCAAATTATCACATATTTAAAAGTTTTTCATAATTCACCCACAAAAGCGGAAATTTTTAGGATCTATTAGAATTTTTTTCCCACAAACGACGTACCCTGTACATAATTATAACAATAGAGGATATAGCCCTGGCATCCGAATTTTTCCAATGGAGTAAATGATTTTCAAAACACTACTTGCTTTCTGAAATCATCCAACACGTGGTAATATTAAATGACGTCATCGGGTCTAGATTGATGGCGAGAAATGGTGAGTTTGATTTGGTTTTTTGGCGTAAACCGTAATTACAAAAATTGTACTATTAATACGGTTAATAATTTACTCTCCAAAAGAACAATTTTCATTGCTTTTTAGATTTTTGTCCATAACTAAAACACCTTGTATATAATCGAAAAATTGCTTGAAACAAAAGTTATAGCGCCGGGTCTCCCATGTATTACGGATGTAAAATTTTTCCGATCGGATAAATGGCTTTGGGGGAAATGATGTTTTTCTGGATGCCAACATAAACACAAAAAAAGTCTGAAGTTGGTAGCTGCCAATTTGGAATGCTTAATATGTTTTTTTAATATTGCACGGCATATCGCGAACACAATACTTAAAAACCGTAAATACAAAATTTTAAGCTGTCTATATGGGCTATATCGTCATATAAAAGAAACTGACGTCTAAAACGCAGATTTGAAATTATTGCCAATTTTCGATGATGGGGGGCCCATTTTTCAGTTTTTTTGAATTTGCGGTGAACCCTGTATATTTTTTCAAAATTGTCAAGAATAAAAGTTTATGAAGTCGTTTCGTATGCGTCTTCTGGTTCAAGAATTTTTAGGGTGTTGTAAACGGTTTCTGAAAAATGGTCTTCTTGTAGATGTGCCAAATATGAAGTCGAAAATCGCGCAAAAAAGATGGATACCTTCGTCGGATCAGGGTGATTTCTTATAATCTTATGTGCCTCGTGAAAGGTTAAAAATTAGGCAAATTTGAATTTTCTAGCTCGAACGGTTCGAAAGTTATTCAGGAAAAACCAAAAGACAAGAACGGAGAACGAAGAACGGGGAACGGACAGACAAAAAAAATTTTTTTCGACGATGATCATTTCAGTACCAACGGCGATCCCGTAGGACTTACCGTTACCGAGATATAAAATTTTTATACGAGCGCATATACTTTCGAAAAATTCGATTTCATGGATTTTCGAAAGTACCAAGAAAGGCATTGCTTTTATATTCTTTTGCAATGATAACCTCTACTTTGTAAGCGTTGTATTTTTAAAGCATATGTTTATTTTGTACATCTACTAAATAAATAGTAACATCCTTTTAAAATTATTTTTCGAATCTATTTATTTTGTAACTCCTCCAAGAAAATTTCCAGCTCCACCACCCATCACGCAGAGGCGTGTTCCATGCGAACGAGATGAAACCTCTTATTAATCCTTTTACGATGGCGCTCACCAGACCCCGTCGCCATTATAGCAAGCGATAATTCTATTCTCCCACGACCTACCGGTGGGATTGGAGATTTATCGAAGCCACCCTTAACGTATGTACGTAATGCAGTCACGGAATCTCGGAGGGTTATTTATATCTGACGCTTAACTTCGAAGCCATATATTCCTGTGTACATATACAGGATGAGACATATCGTATGCATAGGGGTATAAATGAAATAGAAACGTCGAGATAAGATGTGATCTATATATAGGCGACGAAAGAAAAAAAACCATCGAAGAGCTGCCCTAGAATTATAGCAATTATATAACTACACCCTTGAAACAGTTGACTAAATCCAGCACGCCCCAAGCCACTGTAGTCCGTCAGCGTCGGCGGGGGCGGAGGTATTAGCGTCTTAAGCGCGGAACACATAAAACATCCCGATCAGTATGCATAACATGGAGCCCGAGTTGACACATTTAATTATCTCAGATTACCGTAGGAGGGGACCGGCATTAACTTCGGGCCCGAAGCAATAAATTCGCCGTTGACCCTGTCGAAGCCCAAAGGAAATCCCGCTCCTGAATATTTAATAACCGCCTGCCTTACGGATTATCGTGAATAACAGAGACACGAATTTCAGTTAACTGAGTGCGCGGGTTCAGACTCGATGTCCCAAACTTACCTAAACGTAAGCACCGTTAGCGGCCTGTAGGACTTGTGACTCTCCGGCTGAACCATGGGGGTACCCCAGAAGTCATTTTTGAAGACGTTCGCCAGGGAATCGAGCGCCAGCACGTCCCTGTTCAGCGTCACGGCGGGAATATCGTCGTGTACGAAATCTCCACCGAGACCGTTCAGGTAACATGCGACGGCCGATAAAGTCACCAAGGAGTAAACCGGCCAATAAGTCTGCTCGCTCGGTTGCAAGCCCTTCTTCATTGCGGCTATTGACGGCGGAGATCATCGGGAGGCATCGCGACGGTAAGGGATGGTACTGGACGCGGTTCTGGACTAGACGAAGACGATATCTACCATGAGGTGTCATTATTAAATTAAGAGGTAAGGCTCGGGAAACAACTCCTACACATTAAGCTTGCCGAAATATCAGAACTTCTATTACTAGGGTAGGGAGGGATTAAATATGCCAGAGAAGCAAGAGAGTTAAGGACCAATGACGTAAAATATTTTGGGCTTATAAAACTGCTACTACATTGCGAGGCAATGCACGCCCAATTGCCGCTGCAGCATCGTCCTTGCATTCGACTTCGTGTCGGATCGTGTCACCTCGTTATTTTAAAACGGCGCCAGCGGCACCAGCGTCGGACTTAAGCTTCGAGCGATGAAGCGCGGGTGTGAATAATGTAAACGTCTCGCTTTTTGTTGGGACATTTATTTCCACCGTAGTACGCCCAGGGTAGAAATGCAGTAACGTAGACTTAAATATGTCATACGATTACGCAGCATGTTCCTTGCACTGCGGTAGTCAAGTGGATCAGATCAAATAGTTCCACACGGGCGGGTGAATTGTTGCTGATGCGTTCTGTTCCTTTCTTTGCTGTGGTTAAAATATCTAAACTTGAATGAAGACCTACTAGTTCAACTTTGCGTGTGTAGTAGGTTCCTCTTACTGCTCTTGCCAATTTTGCCTCATAAGAACCTAGAACTTGACAAGTACTCAACGATCGGCCATCAAATAAAGATAGAGATGTGATAAATTCCGATCGATTGCCTTACGGGCGAAGTCCTCGATGTAAAATGGGTCTAATTATTTTCTCGTTAAATTCAATTCGAGGGTGACAAATCGTTTTTCCAGCAGCATCCGACTCGGAATCAAAATCGTCGCCGGTAATCCATTAATTTTAAAACGCCCTCGTGTTTAAAAAGGGTGCCATTTTGGGGTTTATTTAGGCGTTGGGCGCTTGACGGCAGCACCGATCGACGTTCTGATTCCGCAAATATTTACCTTCGATTGTTTGGATTTATATTCGCCTCGGTTCGAGTTTACCGACATTCGGTACTCCGAAATTATCAAGGGAAGGGGAGGCATATCAACCGTTCAATTGGAAATGCTCAAACAATTTAATGCCAAAGCTTCATCTTCTGTGGACTTATGCAATAACGTAATAGGGCAAACAGATTTTTTTTACCATTACATAATGAAGGATTCAGTCAAAAATGTAATAAGTCGAGCACAGCAAAGCAAAGTCATGCTCAACATCCTGTGGCAGCAGTAATTGTGGAACCAACTTATTTGTCTCCTCTAGTAACTGGTGCGATCGTTGCTGGTCAACATTTGTCAAGGGCTTGTGTATCGAGAAATGGTTGATAGAGTGGTATAAATGCAGGTAGATAATGCGACATTTTTTGCAATGGTGCTCAGAATGAAATGCCTAGTAGAGGTTGTAGAAGAGATTCCCTTGAAACCAAATAAAAAGAAAAATAAAACCATTCAAAGCCTTCGTAAACAAGGAAAAAACTCTATAAAGATTTGCAGATAACATCGATAATGCAAAGTAAACTTGTTTGAACTTGTTGCATGAAGCAGAAGGGATAGACCAAAGTGACTTTGAGAACAGCTTCCAGAAATAACACCATCACGTCACATCATCGAAAGACAAGGATATTGAGACGGAATAATGTAAAAATCCAAAAACTTACCGAACTAATCCGATTCAACCACCTCGAATAACACACTGTCGAAGATATTCGCGAATACCTCAAGCGAGCTAGCTGGGTGTTCAGGTTTCGACCGAGCGCTGCGGAACACTGCCGTGTTCAGTTTCGGCAGCCCGTATAAGAATGTTTCGGGCGCGGGAAAGTGGTGGGGGATGACGGGTGGGAAAACTCCGTGTTTTTCGCAGATTTCTGTAGTCCAAAGATCTACGGGAACGACGTAATATTCGAACGATTTCGGTTTTTCGAGTGATTTTCTAGTGTGTAAGATTACGTTTAACGTTTGATTAAGAAATGGGGGAGGTGTTCGAGATTTAATTCACAAAACACGTTGTAACATATATTAAAATAATTATTATTATTTATTTAGTTATTTATCCAAATATGAGACGTTGTTTCATTTTGTTTAGCCTTTAATCAGTTTTGATTAAATTCTCACACAGAAATACGAGGCCAGTGTCCCCGTATGTTTAACGTATTAACAAATTGTACAGTGTTTCCCACTTAAGAACAGTACATCCTTGTAAAATCTTTGTTACTATTTTGGTAATTGCTGCATAATTAGCCCGGAGAGTAGTGTTAATGTGATAATAAGTGTATCGATGATGTTTATATATCTATATTCCATTAATAAATGGAATAAAAATAAAACTCCCTTATACAGTGTGTCCCGTTTAAGAACTGTATGTACACTGTGGTCAAATCTTTGTTTATGGGTCAATGAAATCGATTCTTGTCGAAAGTATACGTGCTCCTCACTAATCTCTGTTGGCCGTTCTCCGTTCTCGTATTTTGGTTTTTCCGGAGTAACTTTGGAACCGTTCGACCTACGAATTTGAGATTTGTCGCCTTTTTAACCTTCCACGAGGCACATGAGCCTATAAAAAATGGCTACGATCCGACGCCAGCATCCATCTTTTTTTCACAATTTTCGACTGTTTTTTTGACATTGCTATGAAACACGATAAGTGTCCGAAATTTGAAGCTATCAACTTCAAATTTGTCAGGCGGATAGCGGATTGGGGCTAGGCGGTCGGGAAGTATTTTTATAAAATAAAAAATCGCGTTTGCAAAGGCCCAAGAGAGAAATCATTAATCGAAAACCGTTTGTGCCACCGAGAACATTCTGGAGCGGAAAGACGCAGAATATTCGGCTCTATAAACTTTTATTCTTGACAATTTTGGAAAAAAGTACAGGGTGCGCCGCATTTTCAAAACAACTGGAAAATGCCATAATTTGATTTGACCAGTATCGTAAACTTTGTCGAGAGATAGTTTCACGTTTTTTTCAAGAATGTACAGGGAGGGTCGCAAAGTCAATAAAAAGTGAAAATTAATAATGGAAATTGGCTATAATTAAAACACCGTGTTTCAGATGTTAATTTCCTATACATGACGATCTAGCCCGTATAGTCAGCTAAAACTTTTGTATTTAAGGTTTTCACCTATTGTACAGGGTGTTCCCGATATTTCGTGCTATATAAGAAATGTGTTAAGTGTTCTAAATTTGCATATATCGACATCAAATTTTGCATTTAAACAGTGTAAATTGGGTGCAATCAAATTTCACTAAGTATTTTTTTTTACAAATTTGTTTTATTTTTGTTATTTTGACTACCTAGTTTTTAAATTATATTCAAAAATCTTAAAGACTTATTAAATTATATATTATTATATTATTAAATTATAGTAAATTATTAATCACAAATCAAAATATGGCTAATCAGTTCAAACAGTGTCAAGAACTACAATTTTTGTATATGCGGTTTTCATCTATCGCACACGCTGCTCGAGAAATTTGAAAAAATCCATATGAAAATCACTATTCCGGGGGCCGTCAAGACGCGAAGACGTCATTGACTATAACGGCAAACTGCATGGTTTCAGAAAAGTCTTTTTCTTTCTGTACAGGGTGTGTCGATTAGGCGTAAAAATATCTAAAAGACCCTGAAAATTGCCGTTTTCAATAACAATAAAATTTATAAAAATTTGATCGAAACGCTTTCGTAAATTGTGAGGAGAGTTTCAGGTTTCGTCTATATATCTTATATCCGTCGAGATATTTGGAATAATATAATTGGAAATCGTTATTATTTTACAAGGTTTGTATTTACCTTCAAATTCAGCGATAATTAAAAAACGCTTTATACAGGGTGTATACACAATATAATTACATCAATTTTGCGAAGCGGTTTCTTTTGGAAATACGAAGTTGCTTCGCGCTACCGAGGATTTTTCGAAAGCAATCTTCTTTATTAAACACTCGCTTCGCTGCGCTCCGCTCGTGCCAAATAATATTATGAGTCAAAGGCTGTTTACCTCACTGTTACATAATATACTAATTCCTTCGACTCATAATGGAAGGTAAGAACATCAGAGACTGGACTCACACACATTACTAAGAAATAGAGAAGAATTTGCCATAATTGTTGCCGATCTACCGTTATTTACTCCGCAGGTCGGCGGGGCGGCTGATAACGCAACTTCATAATGGGTAGTTTGTAACCGGTCAACGGTCAACTTGATCGGATAGTTTGGGCGACGAAATCACACGGTCCGAAATTCGCAAAATGGAATATCGCGGTTTACGGGGGGTTTAGCGATTGATTTAGTGCGGCGGTTATGGTTCCGGCACCGCTCCCGGGGGTCGAATTGTAATTATTTCGATGGGGGAGGCTCGCTGCTAGACTATTTCCGGTTTGTTTCGATCGTGGTTTAAATGTTAACGTCGACTTTCAATCTGTTGTTGATCGGAGATATCATACGTATACTCTTCAAAAGAACTAACTCAGCTTAACACATTCACTGTTTTTCCTCGTCGCTTTTACAAATCCTTATTCACTTCGCTGACTCAACTCATCCTCTTTGCAACGTTAAACCTTAACTATCGAAACTCTCATATTGCCCTTCAACAGCCATACATTTCTCTTCTTTTATTCATTTTGCCTCTACTCAAAACTATCTCTGCTCGGATGGGTATGAAAAGCTTCGTTCCAGTCCCGAGAGAAGACATCCGTCTTCTTGATGATCAGTTTATCATTCCTGAGAATATGCACACAATATGCCGATTTTATTTCCTTAATTATGCTAGGCCGCAATCTGAATCTAGGAATACAGGAGAATACGCGCATACGGTGGTAAATCTCTGTTACGAAAGAATTGTTTCATTTTGAGAAAACTTCTACAAACTTGTTCAATTTTGGCTTTAAACTCTTCATCCTGGTGCAAACCTTCAGCATTCCAACACCCAGTTGAATTTAATTACTTCTATCATTTACTCTTATGTTTGCCGGCCAATGTCGCTTCAAAGATGTCACTCGTAATTATCTTTTTGCATTTCTTCCTCTGTCAACTCTGCTTTATACATTCATTGTAGCCACACAGTGTTTTTAAATAGAACTGTGCCCAAAATTTTCAAAGCAACTTCCGCTGCTGTAATACTTTTTACAAAACTTCTGGATTCCTCCTGCGTCGGTTTTCGCTGAGTCGAACTTGCTGATGTTTCGTTAATCAACCTGTTGGCTTCTTCAGAGCTTGACTGAAACTGGCTTGATAAAGGAAATGCCACGGTGGTCATGAACACAAAGTAATACCAGGAAAAGATTCAAGATGTTCTTACGAACGGATCATATCGTCAACTTAAAAAACATTCTACGTCATCCATGGAACGCAACTTTAAATCTGTTATTAAGGCTTCTTCTCTATCAGACTCCGTGAAAAAAATCTGTTATCGCTCATGACTCTAAAATTCCTCGTCTCTACGGACTCCCAAAAATTCACACACCAAGTTTACCCCTTCGACCAATGGTTCTCCAAAAAATGAATTTTGGAAAGCTATAACTCGGAAAATATTATGATTTCGAATTTTTGTTACAGGACTTACTGCTATTAGTTTACCACGTTTAATCTTTCCTCCAAATTTCCGAACATCCTGTATAATATATTATCATCTTCCTTTTATTTCCAATGGGTTCTTACGTGGAGAAAACGAGTGGAAACAAGCAGAACGATGTAATTAAATTGTCTTCCGAAACTACACCGTAAAGATGTCGCGTTGTCCTTGCCCGTCCCATAATTCCTACTAAACAAGTGTCTAATCCGGCGAAACCCAATTTCCGCTACGTGTTGTTTCAGGTCGGGTCTTGCGACGATATTGACATTTTCCTTCCACATCGCCAAAGCCGATCCGCTAACGAATGATTAGTTTAGATTACGCGTCAGGTTTTCGACCCTGCCGCGTTTCGCAACCCACCGCCGGGATATCTGGGGTTATCCTTCATCTACCCCTTGTCGACTCCGCTTAAGGTAACATCATAACGTTGTTAGCGTTATCGGTGGCAAGCAAAGGAGTCGCTTTCGATTTCAGAGGGCGCTGCTCTAACAATGTGTCGCGACAAAGCAGTAAATGGTTATAAAAATTAACCATGTAATAGCAAGCGAAAAGGTTTTAATTCACTTCTTATGCGTTAAAAATCTGCAGTATTGCAATGGACTGGTTGGTGTTGTTATCCTTCTGATGTTTTGAACTTTTAAATGGCTCGAATAGTGAGCAGGAAGTTTTCGTTCTAATCTTCGTCTTCTTGAGAATCTGCATCTTCTAATTGCTTAATCTCAAATATTGCTTTTAATAAGTTAAGCCTTAACTTTCATATCTCTCCTGTTCCATAACTTTCTTGTTAACCGTTATCCCGTCATTCTTGCCACACTGCAATCGTATTAAGCGTTTCTTGTTGCACTCATCCAGCTCAATCCTTATATCAAATTTGTTCGCAAAATAATACACAAAAATATATCCGATAAAAGCAAGTTCTAAAAATACATCGAAAACGTTGTCAAAGTGCCGTTCGAACGACTCGGCAACAAAAAATTCCTTACATGATAAAGGCTGGCTAAGACCGCAGCAAAGGATAAAAACAGGCGGATTTCTTTTCGTGCGTCTGCAACACAGTTCCTTAAAACTATCCTCTATCTTCTCAGCGAAACATTTAGTCCCCTTTATTCTCTTCTTAGCACATGCAATCACAACTTTTGCAGTACCATTTAGTTTTAGTCCGCATTTAGTTGAAGGCTAACAAATATTTCTAGT